GAGAAAATGACAAAATACGTATTACTTTTTTTTCAATTTTTGATCGATCTGCAGAAATCTATTTTCACTTATTATATTTGCTTAAATTACTTTGCTACTTTGGTTAAATTACCATGGATAGAAAAAAATTAAAAATTACAATGAACATACTTATATATAAAAGACCAATAAGTATGTGTGATAAAGATGACCTTTTGATAATAAAAAAAGATTTGTGAATCAATAAAAGAATAACAATAATTTACATAATAATTAAATATATATAAGGCGTCTTTTCATTTTTTTCTAATTTTTATCTTATTTTTATCTTATTTTTTATTTTTTTCTAATTAATTATATTTTCTTTATAATAATTTTTATTATAATCTTAATTTATTATAATCTTTATAATAATTTTTATTATTTATCGATCGCTGCATACTCAAAACTGAACGTTCTAATTCCTCTCACGGCCATTGCGAGACGCACTTTAACAGTGTATCCGAATCAAAGAGAAGTAAGGAATGTCCCTTATCGACATCAGATAAATTTTATATATTTTACATTTATTTATATATTTTACTTTATATATATATATAAAATAAACTTGATATTAATGCTAAAATTTTTTTTTTATGTAATTGTACTTACCAGATCCTGACATATTTTGTTCTTATGCACTATATTTGCAATGACTTGTATTAGTCCCGCTTTAAAGCCATATGCAGGATGTTCTTGTAGATCATCTATTGCTTTAGATGTTTCTATATCATTTGTTTCTATATCGACAGTTGTCCTTTTAGCACTAGGTGCCACTTTACTTAAATTTGTTATTGGAGTAAAATAATTATCCGCCTCTTTTCCCATCATATGTAAGGACATTAAAAGATCTAAAAACATAACACAGTTATAGCATTTTTACATTCAATCAGATCGTATAAAAAAATTAATATGCTTACATTTACAATTAATGAGCAAAGATCTGGCATTCTTTGAAATCTTGTATTGCGTAGTAATAAGTCCCAGAATATTAAGAATAAGTATAACTTCTGTAGGATCTATACTATTTACATACGTGTCCACAGTCTTCAAAATAAGATCACTTTTTTTGCAAAATGTTAGCGTTAGAAACTCAGCTTGATCTTCCGTGAGCACTGTATTAAGATCAGATTGCCAGGATGTCCAGACTTCATTATATATAATTTCAAGTAATTCTAACTTTTCGCTTATGGCTATGCTACTGTATATATTCTCAAATATATTTCGTCGTTGTAATAGAAATAGTAATGCATCCTTTGCAGATGTAAAATTTTCTTTAGCAGGTTTTATTAATTGTAAATATAGATTTTTCTCATCATTTGTGAAATGATCGTCAGGTAATTTTTTTAATGCATTATGCACATATATACAAGCTGCACTGGCAAGAAGTTTGTAATCAGATTGCATACTATTTCTAAAAATAATTAAAACAATGTTTAACAAATAATATAAATAATATAAATCATAAAAAAGTATTAAGCATTTATACATATAAACTTACAGAATAACTTGTTTGAAGTTATCACAATTTATATATCTTAAAATATTGTCTGCTGATGTTACATTTGGACATGCATATGTAAATAAATTACATAAAAATTGAATACTGAGTCTAAAGATGTCCAATTCCTTATCAGTCAAACAATCCATGGATTCATCATGAGACTTGATATAATATACAGTCCATTCTACGACTCCATCGTATGGGAAATGAGAATCATGTGGATAATCACAATTCTTTCCTTGTTGACATAAATCACTCTCAACTAATTCATCGTATAAATTCTTGCTATATTGAACAGATTCTACGTTTCTTATTGTATGCTGTTTATGTTTGTAACTATCGAGGCAAGAATTTCCCAGGCATTTCAAACACAAAATCTTAATCATATCCAGAGTAATTTCACTTACGAGTATTTGACACAACTGTGCTAAGATACCTGCATCAGGTATTATTCTGAAATATACAATAATCATTTTACAAAATTATCTGTCAATTGACAAGTTGTAGATGTATTCATACATACCCTGATTCTTGCCTGACAAAATGTTTTGGTTTGATCTCTTGCAATAACTGATCCCAGTTATTCTCATTTATAATTATTTTTAATTTTTGCGAAGTAATATGTGCTGTCATTTTTAATGAAATCGCCACTGTCTTCTTTATTCATTCGTTGATCAGACGTTGACAGCATTCAGCAGAACAAGCGATTAGCTGCAAGCGGTCATTGCAAGCACGTGTCAAATGATAAGTTAGTAGAATATTCCAATGAGATCACATCATCTATATTGTACGGAATTGAGCCGATCAGAGCTAATCAGTGAGCTTTATCTAGGTCTAGGATATTTTTCAAAGTTGACACGAGTCTAGTTATATTATCATTTGTCATCATTTCTTGTTTAATATTCGATAAACAATAAGAATAATAAAAAAACTTGTATATATCTATCTCTGGAAAGCATTCCTATTGTTCATCAGATGCTAAATAAAAAAAAACAACAAATCCTGATATAACTAGAGGAGCTTCTTTTTAAGAACAAATCTTGTGTTGATAGTATCAACCAATCATAAAGCTGCAATAAATATATTTTGTTCGAAATGAGCCCTGAGGTACCCTAAGATGTTACGTTACTGTCGCTCCATTGCATTTAATTCGTTCGCGACCGTTCGTGACTTGTATTTGCGATAAATCGTCATTTAATATCTTTGTATCTACTTTCAATCGAAACAAAATATTTACGAGGTAAATTCATAATTCAATTTAAAAACATATTACATTAAAAACCGCATTTGTCATTAAATGATTGATTTTTATTCGCAAACGTTCAGTTTCGTTTTGCTATGTCATTCTTGGTTAACCGACCTACTCAGTTTATTCTGTTAGTTTGGGTTTTTATTCGTTTCTATTAATATTAAACCATTTTTGTATATTTCATAATTGTGTATAATAATAGATGTTCTCATTTCATAAATTTATTAAATTTATATCATCGTTGATATAGTACTTAACCTCAAACTTGATTTGATTTTTATTTTTACAATTTGAAATAAAATAGAAAAAATTGTTAAGTGACATTTTTGTGCATGTATAATCTATGTTTAACTTATGAATCTTTTATTTATTTTCAGATGTTTCTAACACGTTCCGAATATGATCGTGGAGTAAACACTTTCTCGCCGGAGGGAAGATTATTTCAAGTCGAATATGCCATAGAAGCCATAAAGCTTGGCTCTACTGCCATTGGAATAGCAACAACGGAGGGAGTTGTTTTAGCAGTGGAAAAACGTGTTACTTCTTCCTTAATGGAACCAACAGCTGTAGAAAAAATTGTAGAGGTCGATAGACATATAGGATGTGCTGCATCAGGTTTGATGGCTGATTCACGAACGATGATTGACAGAGCACGAGTCGAATGTCAAAATCATTGGTTTGTTTATAATGAAAGAATGACAGTAGAGTCCACTGCTCAAGCTGTATCTAATTTAGCTATACAGTTTGGAGATAGTGATGACGATGGCACTGCCATGTCCAGACCATTTGGTGTAGCAATGTTGTTTGCTGGAATTGATGAAAAAGGCCCACAGTTGTATCATATGGATCCGTCTGGTACTTTTGTCCAATTTGATGCAAAAGCTATAGGATCTGGTAGTGAAGGAGCTCAACAAAATCTTCAAGAAGTATATCATAAGGTAACATTATTGGATTATTATTTAATAACATACGTTAATGTTTTATACTTAAATAAATATCGTTATTGTAGTCTATGACTCTCAAAGAAGCATTGAAAACTGCATTGACAATATTGAAGCAAGTAATGGAAGAAAAACTCAATGACACCAATATTGAAGTGATGACAATGACCCCTGGACAACTGTTTCATATGTTTAGCAAGGCAGAATTGCAAGAGGTGATTAAAGATATTGCTTAAAAATTATATAAAACAATTGATTTCACATACCACATCGCGAAGGAAAAATTCTTAATGAAATAGTACATATTGCGAATGTAAAATATATCTCCATCTTATATATGGAGATTAAGTGCAGACAGGATGCTTTATTTCTGCATATTTAATATTTTCGTTTACGTCTTTAAAAAGAAAATATTTAAAAAAAGAAACGTGAAATGGATTTATAACCTTTCATCTTGGATTCCTCTATCCTTTCTCTAATATAAATAATAAATAGGAATATAAATAATAATAAAATTTCAATATAAAAATAAGATTTAATTAAAAAAAAATATATATATATATATAAATTTATATATACATAATATATATAAAATCAACATTTTTAAGAAAATGTTGATCTTATATTGATCAAAGAATTTGATTTGAAAAAATAATGCATAAAAAGGAACAATGATATCTCAAACATATACATATAAAATAAATATTTTTCGATTTATTTCATTTAGCTAATAGACTTCAACGTCACATCGGAAGAAAATCTCACGAGACCAACAGCCGATAACCTCTTGCCTACTCCTCTTGTCCAGCCCTCTACTTCCCTTAAAGGATAAGCAGTCACTTAAGAAAGCAATCTAAATACTTTTTTCCAGATGTTCCTCTGTGTTCCTTCTTTCCTAATCTTGTACGTATTTTTATTTTACTTTCTTATTTTACTATTTTGCTAATTTAAATATTTGCCAATTTTATTTTGCCAATTTGAATACTTGATGATACTCAGATAAACATCAGCTAAATTTTAATAGAAAAGTCTTACATATAAGTGCCTCAACAAATTGATATTCAATCTAACATATGTATATACGTATATTTGTGCATTGTAGCTCAATTATTTGATTTATTAATTGGTTTAGTAATCAATAGAGATTAAAATTTTTAACTTTATTTACAGTTTGCTATATCGAGTACCTCAAAATTATCGTAAAAAAAATTGAAACGAGCAATCGGGATGATAGTCGGAGACCTTTTGCCACGTGCGACAGTAACAGTGTGACACAACGGATTTCCATATCGATCCGTTGTTAAATTCGTAGCGGTCGGGAATGGGTGTGCGACGGATGGCTCGTTTTCGATTAAAAGCCGCCCGCCGCGACTGAATGCGCGTATCCGAAATCAATAATTAATTTTGCCGGCTAGCCGAGAACGGGGGCGAAATAACTCCGGGAGCTTGGCGGAAATGGTCGGATACCGCTCGGTTGGATGCTGCGATGCCCCGATAAAACGTCCCTTTTTATCCCGTTCTCTCGGCTGCCAGATTATTGGATATTATTCCATTTCAAGCGTTCAATCCCGCTACGATTCGCTCGCTTGGATTCCCATGGGGGTTTCCCTGTCATCTATTGATTGCACGTAACTCTTAAAATGTCTATACGTGTGACACTATTGAAATGTGTGCGAAACTACATTTTTGTCGTGCTATGCCTGGCACATCCTGCACACTGCACGAATCCATTAACCGTATGGAAAAAAATCTCTCAGATATCCGTATGGTACTTTTCATTCGCGTTAAGGAACGCCTCAAGAAATGCAAGATGTGTATCTCCCGAGTGCGCTTAATGCAGGGAAAGTTTAATAATAATTGGTAGAAACCTTGATTGCGATTCTCTCGAAAATGATCGCATAGCATTACTGATACAAGATAAATGAATTATTTTAAAGACGATGTACATTCGCGGCGATAATAAAGAAATAATTTTTAAAATATATCTCGCGAATAATCTCTTGTCAATTTAGCGTAAAATTATAATAAATATAAATAAAATATTAATGTATTTTTTACCGCATAATGCGATTTAATAATTGATTCGTAAAAATCGTTCTGGTTGAAAAAGAAAATTCCAGAACAACAGTACGATACGTGGATTATTATTGAGGGTAGATCGCTCGGCGGAAGCGATATGGGTTCGAGGAGGACTAAAGGACTAAGGTAAACGGAGTGAGAAAGAGAGACTGACTCGAGCGCGGCCGAGGACTGGTAATTAACTGTGATGAGAGAGAGGCGGCGCGGGATAGTCCCGTTTGAGTCCCTGAGAATCCCCGGGGACCTGACCCGTCGTATCAGACGCCAAACACTCACTCCCACACATCGAAGCCGAAAGCCCGTCGTCCTCGGGGCGCGTTGCCACGTTCAAGTTTCGCTACGATAATTGCCTTCGCTTCACAGTCGCGCCACCGACACCCGCCGCAGCGACGACGGATAAGAGAAATCGCCCTTCCTTCCTTCCTTCCGCGAACAAATCTGGAACGGGGTTGGAGCGTCGGAAAGTGGAGATAGATAATGGCGCAGGAATTTAGTTTACGCGATTGGCCTTCCCTTTTGTCACGGGAAAGGCGTAAAGCATTTTCTTCCCAAAGATGACGTTTCGACCACGGAATAAAAATATAGAGCGAATAAAATTAATAAAAATATATAATTCGAACAATTGGCATTTGCGTTAAATTTAACAAGTTATTTCCGGAGTAGGCATGTTTATCGGAAACGTAAAAGTATCCGGAAAATTATTAAATTATTTTGAAAATGATATTTTTGAGAAAGGATTAAGGTCAATAAATCGAGCAAAACTAGATGTAAATTGTAATAAATAAAGTATTAGATAATTTTGGTGAACATAGGTGCACATTTCACAAGTCAGAATCTTGGAAAGTCGATAAAAATAAAACATAATATATAATATATAATATAATATATAATATAATATATAACTATAAATAGATTACTTTGGATGTAACTGATAATACGCCTTCTCCTGTTGAAACAATTACGAAACGCTGATTATGCAAATCAATCCGGAAACAAAAACGCGCCATGCATCCTCCTGTTAGACGAGCGAAATACGAAACGCAAGGCGCAGCGGCGATGCGGCGAGAAACTTTCTTCCTTATTATTACCAAAGAGCGCCGATAGAAAACCGGAAGTGCGCGCGGCGGTCGACGTAGGAAGGAGCTGATATCTATACATCATGGGGCTATAATTCACGCATCGCAGAATCGTCGTCATTTTTTTCACTTTCACAGAGAGCCGGGACGTTCGCCCAACGTGAACGTGCAATCTCTATTCGCGTTGCATCGCGGTATATCATATGTACTCGTGTACATCGCCTGTGCATATGTACACACACACACACACACACACACACACACACGCGCGCGCGCGCGCACGTATGTTCATGTACTTGAGGTATTGCGATCGTTTCATCGACCACTAACTAATCCTGTTGTTACGTCGTGTTCTAATAATGTACTACCTTAAGTACATCCGATATTATAAATTGCACTTAACGACGAGAGAGATGGAGTGTGGGGATTTTACGGCGGTCTTTTGAGTGTTGCATCATTATCGATTTCTCCCATGTTCGATAATACCGCGGCGGTTTTCCGTGCTTTTTTTTTTGTCGTGTATAAACAGAGAGCACGGAATCCAGATTTTATTGGTGGCTAAACGAGCGTCCGAGAGGAGCGGCGAAACGTTCGTCGGGTTTTTTTTACATACAACGGATATCTTAATTTTTATTTGTATTTAATTGCGCTGCCGCGAATTTCAATTACATTACGGCAGCGACTATAATATCGATAGGAAATCTGAGTAAAGTCGGCTGTCCGCCCTGTATAACGAAACAGGAAATAACGTTCGTTAATGTGGCCGACTCAATTTCACCAGAAATATTTTATCCTTCCTCCGTAGGCAAATATCCGCTATCGAATTAAACGAATTAATAACATTTTTATGAATTTATGAATATTTATTTTAGCGAAATATGAATATTAATATTAAAATTCGCGGGTAACGAAACGAGGCGCGCGTTTAATACCAAACTCGAAGCTCACGTGCAAATCGCAGCACGTTCCTCGCATTTGTATATCTCAGGGCAATGGAAAGAAGTCTTTCCCATCAAATTTCAATCGGGGAAGACCGACCTGGTGAAAGGAGTGACGATAGCACTCGGATGTTTCGCGGATACACGTACTGGAGTACGTGTGTACGCGAGACGGGGCTCGGTGGCCTCGACGGAGAAAGTAATGCTTTCCTGAAACGCAAACGCGTGTATCTAGCGCTCTTAATTGCGGTCCGGACGTAAGGATTAAGATTCGCTCGGAAATCGAAAGTGTTTGCGGAAGTTCCGCGTGACTTCTGTCTCCCGGTGAGACTTACTACGGATGTTATATGCGCCTCCCTCCCCTTCCTCGCCTCCCCCCCGCGTCCCCCCTCTGTGATTTTTACGTTTTCGCGCTCGGGGACTTAACGATCTCTCGACAGGCTAACATCAATAATGTCGCGCTTTTACCGTGCTCGCCAGACCGGAAGACAAACGCGGAAAGCGTCGCTCGTAATTTACGAGCGAGTCTTGACTCGTAGTACTTTTTGGACTCCTCGTGAATCTTTTTCTCTTCTTTTTCTTTTCCTCTTCTCACATCGCCAATCTTCGGATAATACGACGCGCGCAAGAAACGCGCATTTCTTCGCTTAGGGGAACAATGAATTTAAAAGAGTGAAACTCTCTCGCTCAACGAGTCGACGAAATTTTCTCGAGAAAGTGAATCTTGACGTTGATTTATACTCTCGCTCCGTGCGCAACGTGTTTGATATGGTTAGCACGAAATTGCGCGGTACACACCATAACGGACGATGTATTATTTTATCTCTCCCCATTATCTCGTTGTTTTGTCTTATTTTGTTATTGAAGTGATTCAGAGATTTATTATTAAGATAAGGATCAAGAAAATCAAGGTGCATAATAGGTAGAGTATTTATTAAATCTTTGATATAAAATGATATATTGTTTCCACAATTAAGTTTTTCGCTTAACTTATTTAGGTACAAGTGAGTTTCTTAATGTGGTAAAACATACCTCACAGCAACTCATATATCTTTTTAGGATAGAAGTAGTATGCAGAATTTGTGTTTTTGAGTGTTTTGGCCATGTTAATTTATTAATTTAATGTGCGCAATTCGTTATTGCGGAGAACACATAATCCATAGAATAATCGATTCCGTTTATCTTATTGTAACACGCAGTCTACGAATATTACCGAATAATCGCTACGCGGCCGTGCCTGAATTTTCGGGATATATAATACAAGAAATATGTCGGTAAACTCGTCAATTGCGCTAGATAATTGTCACCTGCATATTCCTCCCAATACGCTAATCACCGGGACAAAGATCCTCGCTTAAGCTACTAAAATTTCGTACTGCTCTCGAGATTAGTTCTCAAGAAAGAATTAATAAACTAATTCGGCAAAGGGAATTTTTCAATTCGGAGAAAAACACGCGATTAACATCGAGAGAGTGAGAACGTTTTCTTAAAAATGAAAGCGCTTCTCGATGTTCGCGTCCGCTCCGCGCTTCGTCGTCGCGAGAATCAGCCATGAAACGATTCGTAACCGCCACCGCCACCGCCACCGAAACCACCATGCAAGTCGATACCGCCTCCGTCGTCGCCGCCACCATATCCGCCGCCACCATATCCGCCACCGCCACCGCCACCGTAACCGCCCAGATCCTCGTGCTTCGGTATATGAATGGGTACGGCCACCGGAACTTTGACCGGTACCGGTACTTCCTTCTCGACCGGAACAGGAATCTCCTTCTCGACGATATACGGCTTGTCAACCGGCACTTTGACCGGCACCGGAACCGGCTTCGCCACCGGCACCGGTACTGGCTTGTGAACATGGTATGGTTGCGGTACCGGCACCTTCACCGGCACCGGATATGGTTTCTCCACCGGCACCGGGTAAGGCTTGTCGACCGGCACCTTCACTTCGTACGGTATTGGTTTCTCGACCGGCACCGGATACGGTTTTTCCACGGTGACCGGATACGGTTTTGGCACGTGGACTGGATACGGCTTGTCTACCGGTACCTTCACCTCGTAGGGCACCGGTTTCTCCACAGCATACGGCTGCGGTACCGGCACCTTTACCTTCACCGGGAACGGCACGTGCTTTTCGACGGTGTAGGGTTGCGGCACCGGCACCTTCACCGGCACCGGTATGTGTTTCTCCACGGTGTAGGGCTGTGGCACGTATACCTTGACTTCGTAAGGCTTGTCTACCGGCACCTTCACTTCATACGGCACCTTCTTCTCGACGGTGTACGGCTGCGGCACGTGGACCGGCACTTTGACGAACACCTTCACAGGGTAGGGCACATGCTTTTCGACGGTGTAGGGCTGCGGCACGCCGACCTTCACCTCGTACGGTACATGCTTCTCCACCAAGTAGGGTACATGCTTCGTTACTTCGTAAGGTACCGGCACTTTCTTTACAACTGTCACCGTCTTCACGTGCTCGTGATGATCATAGCCGCCGCCGCCCCCGCCGCCACCGCCGCCACCACCGCCGTGCAACTCGAGACCGCCGCCACCGCCCAAATCACCGAAACTATGCTGGAGTCCGCGTTTTTCCGTCTTCTTCTCTGTTGACTCCGCTTGGACATTTTGCGAGCTTTTGTCCGCCTTGCTCGAATCCTCCGCGCATATAACTTGGGTGGCCACTGCCACCAAAATGATGGCAACCTGAGATCAAAGATATTCATTTCAGTAATTTCGTAATACAACAACGTTTCATTACATACATTAATAAATAAAAAATATTAAAAGTTGTCGGATTGCATGCAATCTATTAATAATTTTTGACACGGAGATGTTAACGGACTAAACTAAGATATTCAGTTTCACTTTGAAACGAGAACAATCAGTATCATTTTGTAATTCGTAGATAGAAGGGAGAAATTTTACAAGTATGAGATATTAATCTCGATTTTATTTGATTTGATATAATGTACGTGTGTGTATGTGTGTGAACTAACTTACCTTAATATTCATTCTCGAGTTCACGTATGTTTTAGCGTGGCGTATGACCACTAACTGAACCGCTTCGTTTTCTAGGCTGAGTCTTATATACTCCGCGCTATAATAGCTTAGCACTTTCCCTGCACCTCATCGCTTACATTACCCGTACGGGGTCTTGCTTTACGTACATTGATAAAAAAGTCGCCTGGGCGAGTCCAGGAAATGAATACGGACACGAATTTGTTTCGCGACAGCTCAAAGTTCGGCCCAACATCAAATTCCAAATATCAAATGTTTACTAGCGTGAATTAATATCCTTAGTCGTAGTCGTCTTGCTACGACAACCGCAAATATTTCATATAATATCAGTGCCACGAAAATTTTCTTCTTTTTAGCCATTATTTTATTTTTATAAGGAAATTACTATCTTGTTGAATAAATTAAAAAAATTTAAAGAAATAATATTTTTAAGACAATACGTAAAAATATATGACAAATATAATATATTTAAACAATTAATGAAGAGAAGGTAAATATTATATTAAATAATACTGAATAATTGATAAAGAGATAGTAATTACGGTAATAGCCAATGCAATTATTATTTTTTCTATAAAAGTGATGATTTGTATTTCAGCTGCTAAAGTTTAACACAACTTTATGAAAAATATGCTAATATGTTTATTGATAATTATATACTATATAACTATAAATTTGTTTATATATATATACAAAGTTTATAATTATGATTAATTATGTATATAAAATGCGTACATACACACAGAACATGTATATGTATGATAATGCGTATGCACGGCTACAAAGTAAATGGAGGAAGTTAGAGTACGTGTGGAGTTATGGTCAGCGAATGTGCAACACCGTGATTTCCGTCTCTCCTTGTCACAAAAATTGGAAGCCACCATGTGCGACGCAACGCTAAACCAGCATATTATCCTTGTACCTGCCGCGTGCTTTTTCACGGTTGATCACCGGTGAGAGCTCCTAATGCTAAGCAAAAGATTTACAATATTGTGGAAACAGCTTCCGTGCCGTATTTTCACATCTCGTCGTTTAATATGCATCATTAAATTTAATTAATCGCTCCGTTCATACGCTCATATACGTGTTTGCGTTATTTCATCGCGCCCCATAGGACTCCACATGTTGCCAATCAATTAACTGTGGCACGTACCATGCGTGTTAACTGTGGCACGTACCATGCGTGTTATTTTCATATATCGTAAAAATTTCTCTTAAATCAAAATGATATCTGACAATTCTTTATTTTTTTTTTTTTTTTTTTTTTTTTAGGCTCTTGTGCTTTTCCGTTATTATTATCAGTCGCTCGATATATAAAGTTAAATTCCACGCACTTTTAAACGTGGCGTCGTCGTCAGTCGTTATCGTTATCGTTTCAATGCCATTTGTCCGGGGGCGCGATTTGAGCTTTCGCACTAACCGTATCGACGGCGCGCGAGGGTGCCCATTACGCGCGTGTAATTACTGTAGAAATCCGAGTAAAGCTATGCGAATACCGCGCGCGCGTGCGCGCGCGCGCGCTTACCGTAAGCGCGAGCTTCGCATGTACGGCATACCTAATGCCGTATGTTAATACGGTCGCTCGCATGCGCGTCGCACATTTCGATTCGGGATCAAGATAGACCGCAATTTTTAACGATTAATCGCCGCTCAAGCATCCCCAAGGGTTCTACCGCCTCGCGGCGGACGCTCGTTACACAGACTCGCCGCCTCGTTATTCTCGTGTCCCTTCCGATAAATATTACCGGTAAAGATGATAAATGTATCTCGCGCCCAAATGAGACCGCCCTTGTCCAATCGATTGATCCACGATGTTGTTAATTAACTTTACATTAACGGGGGCTGATATGCGACAAGCGATTTGCGAGAAAATTACATAAATTTATGGCTGACATCGCGAACAAGATGTTGTGTGTTTTCTTTACGTAAATCAATTGTCAAGATCTGTTAGAAAAAATATCGCGATGTCATAAGATACTCTTCAGGAACATACTTCTGAAAATATATTTTGAATATATTAAAACTGAATAATAACTAGCTAATTAGTTAAAAACGTTAGTAATTTTTTATTTAATTTTATTAATTTGAAATAAATTAACTCTTAGTTTCAAATTTGTTTTGTTAACTTGTTGACTTTTCAGTTAAAATTTTTTATTTCATATTATAATGTTCCATATTTTATTATTTAAAATAATTGTATGTTAAAAAATTATTACATTTTATTCTGATATAAATAATTCTTCTTAAAATTAATTTTTAATTTAACTTGATTCAATTTTAACATAATTTTTAATCAAGTTAATTTTTTATTACTTTTAATATAATTGAGTTAATTTTATAGGCTGTTAATTTTAACTTAATTAAAAGAAGTCTAACTTAATCAACTTACAAATACAAGGAACATTACTTACGTGACGCGTGATGAATATAACATTGCTCACTCCATAACTAATTATATAATCAGTTATCAATCTTATTATTGAAATCTTAAGTTTGATAATAAGAGACAAATAATTAATTTTGACTGAATATTTTTTGAAACAATTATTTGAATAGAAATTTGACTTATAAATTATAAATTAGTTATAAATTAGTGTTACTAGAAGTAAATGCTGTAAGGAAACGCACTAGTGATTATAATTGCTTTGTGCAATTATCTCAGTTAAAGACGTTCACCTTTCTCCTTCTCTCTCTCTCTCTCTTTCTTCTCTCTTTCCCTTCCACTCTCTTCGAATATTACGTTCTTTGACGGTAGAGTCGGAAATATTAATGTCGATCGACACATTTATACTGGCACAATTTTTCAGTAATATATTTAAGAAATGTATCTTTCCGTTTACTCTTCTTAAAACTTTATTTTAATTTAATTTAATTTTATTTTGCAAAAGAATCAGAGCAAATTATATGTCACAAAATCTGTATTATAAATGCAGGGACTTCGAACGGCATTAATCCTCTCGATTGTACAATGTCTCGATGAAGGCCCACGGGAGAATGTTCGATAATAAACTTGCGCTCTTTCTCCGTCTCTCTCCCCCCCCCTCTCTCTCTCTCTCTCCTCTCTCTCTCTCTCTCTCTCTCTCTCT